TAATTTGAAATGCGGCAAACAGAGCATTAATTATAAAGTGACTCTGATTTTTGATTATATTAATTATAAAGTGACTCTGATTAGTTTAAAAGATGCCTCAGAAGCTAAAAAAATCATCTTATATTTAAGAAAGTATTTCAGGAAGAAGCTCTGCAAATAGAGAAGAATGCATAATTAATATTAATAATACAATAAACTTTGATCTTAATTTTTGTCATTGTTAAATGAATAAAGTTGAATTACCATAAAATTTCTTTCTAATGTAATTAACAGAAATATATGAAAATATTTCAGTCAGATTAAACTGTTTTGGGAAAAGTATAGCACTAATTCTGTTCAGAATGAAATGTTTTTTAAAAATGTATTCTTTTCACATACTAAAAAATACTAAAAAAAGAAAATGTATACATTTGTGTGTATATTTACAATATAATTACAAAATGTTTGCCTCCAATCATGTCAAAACCTATTGTTCTTAATGACAAATAACCAAATGTCTCCATGTGGGGTGCACCACTGCTTCAAGGCAATGCACTGGGAAAGCCAGTTAGGGCTTCTCCTCATACTTCTGACCTCCATGGTTTTTCCACATTTACAACTGGAATTGAATCAAAGTGAAGTGATTACTGCGATTGCCATGCATGAAAATTTAGAAACTCCTAAAAATCCAAATTGAAGGGCTAGCTCAACAAGATGCTGTAGAAGACCTTTTCTTTTGTTTGACATTTCCATTTATGTGTGATCATTCATCAATCCTTTTTTTTTTTTTTTTTTAAGTTCATTAATGGCCGAAAGACTCTTGAACTTTGATATTTCAACTTGAGTTCAAAATTCGTGAAGGGTTGGCGCTGGAATTTTCATAATTTTCCTGAGATTTAATCTGAATACAAGCCATTTTCTTCAAGAAAGTCCTTCAGGTTGGCATCCCTTCTCTAAGGCAGATATTGCTTGCATGCTTTACATCCAAATAATCTGATTTGATCCAATATTTTTTTTAAATGCTTCAAACAGTATGGCTTTCTAGTTTCCTTTAAATCTGTCAATAAAATGAAATTCTCAGTTGTAAAATATGTAATCTTTAGATCTTCTTTTAAGAGAAATTTGTGATATTTCTTGTGAATGTCATTTTACTAATATAAGGCCCATATCACACACGCATTTATTTCTCATGCACAATTGTTTCAGACAAGTTTTCTGCCTGGTTTACTGTTGAAAGAAAGACATGCAATTTTTTGCCTGTGTTAATCCCAAGGTGATCTGTGGTGACTGGCTGTTCTGACAAAGCAGAGAAATTGTTCCAAACAATTGTTCTTCCAAAATAAATGGATGTGTTATAGCAGCCTAAGACATGATTCAACTTCTATTCGTTTTTGTCAGATATGAATTGAATTTTTTTGTTAACCCCACCTCTTTTCTTTTGATTGTGTACTACAAATTTCACTGCATTCATCATAGTACTTTGATTCAAGTTAGACTGATCTCCAGTGAAATCGCAATGAATGAGAATATTTTTGTTCATTTGTGCTAATTTGTACTTTGAACCACTTCATTTGTTGTTATTATGTTATTAAATTGCAAGTTAATAACATCACATATTCAATTTTTTTCTGATAATTATGATTTTCCTAGTGCATAGGGTGAAATCTTTTTTCTGCATATGTGTAAATTAGAATGTTATTTAAATTACACAGATTAAACACAAATCAGTCTAACTAGATAGTTTAATAGTTTTTCAGATTATTTCAACTTTAAGGATACAAACATTACTAAAGAACTAAACTAAAATGTGGAAGCTTACCACTGAGTATTAAGAACACTGTAAATACACACATGCTCATGACTTAAGAAATGAAATTATGTCTGAATGGAAGCCAAAAAAGATAGCAACTTCTTATTTCCCAACACCTAACTCAAGGGAGTAGCCAATAACTGGTTCAAAATAACAAAACAAACCAATAGTTGAAAATCTGCTACAGTACAAAGTCCGAAATCCAGACTTGTCGGGACTTTGGCGATTCCAGATTTGGGAATTTTCCGGACATTAGATCATCAGTTTAAATCTAGTAAGATGGCATGTAGAAATTATAAAATTAAAAATATGAAATCATGATTTATGAAATAAATCATGAAGTATTTATGATCTAAAGTATTTAAGATCTCTAAGTATTTTATGATCTAAAGTATTTGAGATCTATAAGTATTTATGATCTAAACGTATCAAAATTTATAAAAAAAATTATATTTATTTGTTTACCTTATTAAACATTTCTTTCAATGTAATCTGTTTTAAGTTGCTTCGTTTTTTTGTGCTAATACTTTCTCTTTAATTCTGTAGACAGATATAATCTCTTGTTTAGTTACATTGTTGAAGTCCTCTAACTGCTGTTTCGAGAATTCCGACTAACTTGTCGATCAAAATTTTCTCGTTTTCTGTAACTTCTCTGTCACTGTCTTCACTATTGGTAGTGTTATTTTCTGGATTTAGAACCGTACTACAGATTTCACCATTCATTAATTGATTGATGATTGAGACACATTGTCATCACAATGAAAAACCTTTTTTATATCATCTTCATTTATTACCGCTTCTACCACATTTCTTTACAAAATCTCTTAATTGGAAAATGTAAACTTTGTTTTGCGATATCCGAAAAACTTTAAAATTAGCTACTATCATAATCAAATTTAGCTATCCTTCACTATACATATTTGGCTATGCATCATGAGCTTAGCGACTAACGACAAGTTGTTCCAGTAAATTTTCTATCGCGCACTGAGACAATTAAACCTGAATTGTATTAATTTAGTTACTTAGGTAAAACCCTAAACTTACTTAGGTAAAACCCTAAGTAACTGTCTCTATTTCTTGCACATGCTTAAGGCTTATCAGAGTTCTGAATAAATAAATTTCTTCCATATACTTAAGCCTTATTGAGTGCCGGCACTAGATATCTTATCGCCTCATATAGTCTCTGTGGGTACTAAATTCTGCGACTCAGTACGGCCATATGAGCCCTGGCGATGGTTCTGGCCTTATGTGAATTAACAACTCAGTTACTTTTAATTCAGAAGGTCCTAATTGTAATCTTTGGGTCTATGAGTATCAACAACAAAATCTATTTTTATCATACGGGAAGAAATATTTAGTAAATTTTTTCTCGTGAACATTTTTTAACGCATTTAACTTATATCTGTAATCATCGCCAAGTGTAATGTCAACAAAAAAGGTTACCATACTCCTTTATTTTTCAATTACTAACATAAAAAAAATAATTAGGCATCGCTACATGAGTCATTACTCAAGTTGTCATGTTTTGATAAACATGCGGTGATGAAAAGAAAGTATAATAAATAATGATTTGCCAGGTTGGCGCCAGATCAACGATGTATCCATTTAGAATGTTTCAGTTTGAAATGTGTGCCAAGCAGATATGCAGCAACGGAGCCAAATTGCTGGTCGTACAAATTTATGCTAAAATGATTGTTTCTTCAATAACAAGGTATTTTATTTAGTGTCGAAGTGAAATTAAGAATCGGGACTCTCTAGATGTTTTGTTATGCGTTGAAGGGAGAATGAAATGCGCATGTGTAAAGCCTACAAGAAAAATGCTGTTGGTGGTTTTAAAGTCCGGATTTTAGATCATTCCGGATAATGAATGTCTGGCCTTCAGACTTTGTACTGTATTACTTTCTGGAACTGTGGTATAGTAATAAGAATATTGTGCCATTCTCATTATCTGCTAATATAAGACTTCTTGAGTGCTTGAGACATATTCTTTCATTCATCATTTAAAGTATAGATTAGATATTGTTTGTTTCCCAACAAAACATTGAGAGTTTGTCTTTCCACAATATTCCATACACACTCAGTAGGACTGAGGCCTGAAGAGCATGCAGATCAGTCTGTTCAGTAGGTATTCTCACTTGTCCAATGGATTCTTAATTGCTTCACACTTCAGTGAAGATCAGCATAATCACCTATAAAAAAGAAATAGTTTACCACTAACACCATGATCATAGGATTTCAGTAATCTCTTTACAGTGGTTTAATGGCACTTTCCATTTATATTTCCTTGCTGGTACATATTATCCTTTTCATGCTGAAGGTATAGTCTCTAATGATAGAACAACACATTAGCCCATTGCTACATTGTTTAATTTTAATGGATCTGACATTATTCTTCTTCTGTTCTATTATTCTTCAAACCTTCTGTGGTATTTTCTGAATGTTGTTGCACAGATGATCAGTATTTGTTCATGTAACCCCATGTAATTCAAATGTTAGGTCAGAGATTGATGAGGTAACCGTGTTTCTGTGCTTCAGGTAAGGCGGCTTATAAGTTGGCTGCCATATACCATCAATTTCTTAAAGCTGTTATTGCTAAACAGTCAATTTTCTTTTATAGAATTATAAAAGGAGGATAATTTCATATGGAGGATGTGGATCATATTCTAATTATGTAAACACTTTGTCTGGCAACAACACTTTGTAAGGTTTTCCAACTTCCCTTAACTATCTACAAGAACCTACCTATCAAACTAATCTGAAAAATTATCAAGATGATGCCTTTGAGATAAGATGAAAATTTCACACTAATAAATGTATTCTTCCACATTTAGAATTTCTGACAAAGGCACTAATACTTTTAATTTCTTTTTCACTTACTTTCGAGTTACCATGTTATTCTGAAATGTAAGGATCAGAAATTTGCATATTTATGGCCTCTGCATGCTTTAAGTATGTAAACTGAATCAAATTGACTCATCTACTTTGTATAATACATTCATCTTTAAATTTTGAGCACATGTATATAGCCCTTTCACTGTAGAATCTTTCATTGTGTTTCACGAGAGAATTTTTCTCAGAGTTTATATTATTTTTGTTACATTAATAACATTACTGTTTACAGATTCAAAAGTTTTGACATATTTTTTAAGCTCTAAAAATGCTGATAATACCAGTGTAATAAAAACATAATATTTGTTACTTATTTTTCTAGAATGATGTTTCATCTCATTTCCTGTTCAGCTGTATAGACTCGATTATTTGCTTAACAAAGTATATAACTTCAATGGTAAGAATACCTTTATATACTTTTATAAATTAAAGTATTAAGAATGTTAACTAAAACTGGAGGGAAAAAGGTATAGAACTATTTATATACGGTATTCTCCATTTCTCCATGCTTTATTAGCATAGAATATTGTGTGATATTTTTTCTGTTATAATTACAAATAATTTTTTTAGCGAACTAAGGTCACCAAAGCCAATTTTTTCGTTGCTTCATAAAACTGATTTTAGCCAAAAATATCTATGTTTTACTTATTTTTGATTTTATTCTCTGTTAATTTTTTTAGAAACTGTATTAAAAATGGAATATAGTTCTTTTACTCATAAATTCAGGGATATTATCTAATGTATTCATATGAAATTTTCAATTGAATTTTGTACTATTTAAATTTGCTTATTAAATCCAACAGTTTCACTGCTTCAAAACTCAACTTGAAAAAAACTAGAAATAGAAGTTGAATTTCATTCCTTAAAAAATTTAATTGATGATTCTTAGAAGTGAATAAGTATATGATCTGAATAACAGTTTTCTCTTACTTTCTTAATTGACTAAAGAAATGCAAATATTGCCCATCCATTTAACTACTATGGATATTTTATAGTGAAAATAAATTTTTTAATCATAAATTGTTTCATTTAATGTTTTGTTGCATGTTGTCTGTGTGTGTTGAACATTAAAATATAGCATGATTAAAAAATATATGACAGAAATGTAAAGGGGACCAAAATAAGCAGATTTTGTTCTGGAATGAGCATGTGAATATAGTGCATCGAGACAGGGTGCTATTTGAGCAGTAGACAAAAGTATTCTACTGGCATAAATTGTCATTTCCCATGCAGATTTTGAGGAATATGCATTGTTATATGGATGCTATGCTCGCCAACATGCATTTTATCTATGGGGTTGCAAACACGAACAGAGCAGCTTCTCAAAGGAGGTACTTGCGAACTAGTCTTTGTACATTCTTTGAGTAACTGCTCTGTTGCAGCTACAGCTCCAAGGACAGTTTGCATGTTGCAAGCTTAGTGCTGAAGTAGTCACATGCAGAATAAGGATTTAGGCCAGCAAAATACTTTCTCTTTTTGCTCTGTTACAGCCTGTATAATCTGGATATTCCTTTTCCACACACACACATTCAATTACAAAATCTGCTGATTTTGGTCCTCTGTACTTTTATTAACATTTTTGACAGATATATTTGAATTATGCATTTCATATTGTATGATATCAGTAACAAACTATCTAACTGCATTGTGTATTATATTCTCGATATAAATGATTAAAGGAATGAGGATGCAGATGACAGTTCAGTTACAGATGATTTTTAAGGTGTTACATAAATTTTACCGATAAATTTTGACCACTAGAATTTCTTAACTCTAAAGCAAATAGAAACAGGAATAAGATAACTTACTCTCCTTTACGAATTGTGAGGTTTAAATTAAAAATAAACTACACAAAATTGTTAGCCACCTGGATCCGGCTGAAATACTAGTTTTCTTCAGAACTGTTCTGAAGTCAAGCAGTTTAATCTATCTTAGCAGAGGGTACAAGCTTTATGTGAAACTGCTACGGGGACTCAGATTTTCTAATTTCAATTCTAATTCTTTCTAAATTCAAATTTTCAATACTGAGTCTATCCTTGTGCTATATGTGTGTGTTCTTGTGGTTTTCTAAAAAAAAAAAAAAAAAAAAAAAAAAAAAAGAGCAGTATTTTCCTAATTGAGTTTTTTTTGTCGACTATGCATTGGATATACTCCATAAGTGTTAATGATGAAGAGTGCAAATTTGAAAACCAAAAATTGCATATTAGGTGTTTAATTATAGTAACTGGCTTCCATAGATTGAGGAAGAATCGTGAAAGTCAGAATTTATAAAAAAAAGGAGGAACCCATTGCCGGTTTTTACTTTAATGGCAAAAATAGACCAAAATGTCTCACAAAAGTTTTTTCTTTTGTCCTCAAAAATGGGCTTGCCTTCAAGACTCAGGGTGTCTCAAAGTGTTTTTACCTCCAGCAAAAAAATTTCTTCCACCCATTCGTTTTCCATCTTTTAAGCATCAAAAGGTGAGAGAGTTGTAAAATTGAAGTGTATTGCAAAGTTTAGATCCTCCTAACTTTCCCCTTGGGTTATTTGGGGCAGTTTTGAACAATATAGCCTTCAACTTATGTTTTGTAAAAACGTTACCCACCATGACTTCTTCTGCGACTGACGTGTTTGTATGAAGTAGAAATTAATGTTAGAGTTTCTACAACTGTTCACCAAGAAAGCCTTTCCTACTAAGCAATAAATATTTCTATGGAACCCTATATTAATATTTGATTTTTGTTTTATGCTTCTTATAATCACATTTATGAATACAGAAGTGTATTACATGATGATAGTTCCATTAAATATTTTAAATTAATTTTAGTGATTTTTGTGGAAATAAAAATGTATGATTATGAATATTTCCTGTGAACTGAGTGGGTGAGTCAAGTATTATTAAATTGGGTCAGAAATAGAGAAAAAAGACACTTAAATCTGTTACAGTTGAAGTACTAATTATTATTGTACTATTCATTTATCAAGTAATATAAGCATATCCCAGTTCCTTCATGATTAGTTATATGGGATAGTAATATTGTAGATACAACAATGAAAAGGGGTTCATCCTCAAAATTTTTGTTATAAGAATAAAATACTTTTTACCAAGTTTGATGTCAGTTACATCTAGTTATGTGCGTTTTTGTTTTATTTATTGGTTATTAATAACAATGCTTCATCTCAAAATCGTTCAGTCTTTGATTCATGTGTGATCAATTTAAAAGAAATGCACAATATTGTCATTTCAGGTTGAATAATTGTTACAAATTTTACAAATGTCAAATTTATTAATATTATCTTTAAATTTTTAAGTTTTAAATTAGAACTGTAGTTTAACATTCGAAAGAATTGCTGAGTTATTTGCCTGCAAAAATTTTGTTAATTATCACATTTTAAGTGATAATTAACAAAAACGTGTTTAAGTGGGAATGGTATTTAACTGGTGCTGGAAGAGGTAAGAAATCATTCTTGCACTTACTTTTGTGAGTGATGGGAAAAGCTTCTGATCTAAACAAATTTGATAGAGAGTGGATTGTAATGGCCCAAGGACTCGGAACGAGTATCACTAAAACTGCAAGACTGGTAAGTTGTTTGTGATCTGCTGTTGTTAGTATTTATGCAAAGTGGATAAATGACTGTGAAACCAGCAGTAGGTGCCAAGGTGTCGGACATCCACATGTCATTAGAGGAAATGGACACACCATAAACTGTCCTGCTTGGTACAGCAAAATTGGGCCAGACGGTGGCTCAGCTGACAGCCCAATATAATGCAGGTCCAACTGCAAGTGTTTAAAAACACACAGGTCAGTGAACGCTGTTGGATATGGGACTGAGCAGCAGTGCCTCTGTTAATCAAGCATCCTTGTCAACAATGCCTACAGTGGGCTCGGGAACATTGAGAGTCGACCGTGGATAAGTGGAAGACAGTTGCCTGGTCTGATGCATCACAATTCTTCATTTATCACATTGATGTCTCCATTCTCCTGTACTGCAGGTCATACACAGGCTGGTGGTGGCAATATTATGCTTTGAGGGCATTGTCATGGGTGGCTTTGAGACCCTTAGTTGTGGTGGAGCAGGCCATGAAAGCTGCAGACTATCTGAACCAAAATGTGGATCGTCTTTTCTTGCAAAAAAGCGAAAAGATAAGTGAAGAAAATCATATTATATAACATAAATGGCACAGTGAAAGGGGTAGGTATATTCTCTACATCACTAAGTTTATTTTACAAAATTTGCTATCAGGTAAAATATTAATACAGGAAAAGAGATGTGAATATCAACAAAATTAATACAGCAAAGGAAGTACAACTTTTATTCCTATATGAATAAGCATAAATATAATCCAGCATAAATATGAATTTTCTGTATTTTCTAACTGTGCTAAACTCTGTGTTTGCTAATATGAATAGATTCAAGAAGCTGTATTTGTGTGTAAAATGAATACTCAATGAACTTGTACAAATAAAAAAATAAACAATCATTTTGAATATAGAAACAATAAATAACCCTGCATGTATATAAATTTTATAAGAATTTTTAGTCAGAGGAACAGTTATTTAGAAAGGAAAATCAGAAGTTGAAAATCTTTGTATTTGGTTTATGAGTTTTAACTATTCAAATGTGTGTGTTGTAATCTTTTTGAGTTCCTTTCTGTCTGTTCTTGACATTTCCTTGTAAATACAGATTGGAACAATACAAAAACTCACAAGTTTCTTTTATAATGTTTCAGCGCAGATTTCTTGAATATAGATACACTATTTTAAGGATTCCAACAACTAGATACTTGTTTAAATATATTGATTATATAACTTTTGTTTGATCAGAGTGCACTATAAAAGTGTAGACTGATTCATGAAGGGGAGGATGACACACATATGGCCATGGTTTATATTGAGATTAACTTTTTCTGGCACACTATACTTTAAAGTCAGAATTTCAACAAAAAAAGTTGTATTCAGCCTATTTAGGCCTAAAGGAGTAGATATGTAAAATTTTGTAAAAATTGGACTTAACATTGTAATTTTGTGGGTGTTCCATGAAGTAGAACACTGCGCAGCCAGAGCTCTTAAAGTGCGACTACGTGAGCATTGCAATTAAGCATGAAAATGAGTAGAAGCTTTTGTATAGTAATGAAAAAACAATGTATTATGTCTGTATACATGGTTTTCTGGATATATACAATATTCTTGAATATATATATGGATAAATATATGTATATATGTTACTGTGAAAGACCGAAATTGGAGATTGTCGACTTTCACCGGAGAATGTCAACATTTACCAAATACGTCGGTGAAAGATCGAACATTTCTTTACATTCGGACCCTCACCGGTGTATGTCGACAATCACAGATATGCTCTGGTGTAGGTCGAAAAGAGAGGAGTATATGTACACGCTGCCATTCCAAAAGGAA